GTCTCAGACTAGGATGGAACGACTGTTTAGCATTTTAGGATTCTCAGTGGTTGCCAATACTATAACTGTGTGCTCACTATTGATTGACTTCAAGATCGGTTGTTGAAGTACTAGTGTGAGGTCTTGATCAGTGGTATTAGAAGATTTTATAAGTGAAACAATTATTATCATTGGCATCAGAAGATCATTGTAGTATACAGGGAGTGGACTAATGTTGATGTATACCACTGGAAGACAACTCAGTGCTCTAGTGTTTAGGCGCTCGCCACAAGATCAAAAGACCCTGAACTCTATGCTTTATGGGATCACGGTTGAGAATTGTTGACAAACCCAATATAGATGAAAAAAGCAGCTGCTATAGTGCTCCCTGATTGTAAGTGGTATCCCAACTGAGGTCAACTGATAACGAACAATGCCCTATAAGTATTCGCAAATGACAACAAGCTTAGTCTAAGCGACAATTGTCAAACATCGTCTACCGACAATGTACAAAGCTCATGGATCTACTTAGAACTTCATTTCATAATGTCAAGTGTTGTTAAAACAAATTTACGTTTCCTACATCTTTAGATTACAAAATGTTCCGTCGATGCTTCATTAACAATCTAGGATGTTAAAAAAAACTTGTTTTTTTTGTTTTTCCAAGTGATAACTTCTTACTTCCAGTTTTTTCATGGTGGTCTAGCTTCTAATTACTCATGATCTCAACCACTGAAATTATTATAACAACTCATTAATAATGTGTCTCAGTTTCCAAATTGTTATCCATATTACAATATCTTATTGGCGAAATAATCAAAATTGGTAAGATAAGTAAATTTCCAGTATACTTTTATATTGGTTAAAAATACGCTAAAACATGTTTACTTTTCAAATATCAGTACCAAAGTTGGACCTGATAGCTTCAAATTGAGCATTGGGTAGATAATCCTTCTGAAGAAGTGGATTACATTAAGTCACGAAACGTCGTCAGAAATACAATTTTTCTACTTTTTGGGACATAGCAAAACATATATTTATCATCATTACTTTCGTTATATTATACAGAAGGTTAAGTAATAAAAATCTATTAAGTTTTAATTAATAGTTGAATAAGTTATTACTCATTAGCTCAAACTATCACCTATCTTTTTATCAATGGATTAGAGCATTTCAATTAATTCTCAATAGAAACATATTGATTACTACCAACAGTATTTTAAATTTGATCCAGAGGTCTATTAATGACTGACTGATTACAGTAGGATGGAAGAAGACATGTCATCAGTTCACTAAGTTATTAACCACTTGACTAAGTTGTCAGAAAGTTCAGATTTCTTGGCTGGGGTTCATGCGAGAATCATAATTAGTAATCGAAGATCTCAGGTAACATCTCTTGATACACCAATATTCACTTTTTGCCTTCCTTTAGATCCTGTTTCAACAATACTTCATACGTCACGTTCCTCGGTTCTCCAACTCCTGTGAATTTTATCGAGTCAGCTTTCTTCGTCTTTGGGGTAATCTAGGAACTTTGACGGGTGTATATTTGTTTTAAATGCTTAGTTGGTCATGGATACCTGACTAAACTCATTAACCAAATGAGGGAAGTATTACGTGAAGTTAAAGCACAGGTGTAATTTAGATGAACCAAGCCAAATTAAAATACATTATATGTAACGTCTAAGGTAGTCATGCTTTAAATAAGAAACTATCATTTTACAACAACCATTAGCAAGGTTGAAGTCAGAGCTGAAAAATTTACCGCTAGACTGAGTATTTAGTAAACCCAGAAAAAACCTATCAGATGACATTTGCTATTACGATTCATTTATAACATGTAGTGTTATCTCCTCAAAAATGAAAAATCAGTAGATCGTACGAATCTTTAGAACGGTTACATTCCGTAAGATTGATTTCACCGTGCTATTTAGATCAAACAGACGTTTTGTATAAGCGTGAAATAAATACTATTTAAGTGACAAATTCAAATCAATCATGATAGTTATTATGATTCGAATATTAATGACAAACAAGTTTTAATAAAGAAATTAATCGGATGACCTTATCTAGAAAATCAGTGAGGACCACGAATCAACGGATTAGTTGTTACATCCAAGAACGGATTTTCACAACAGTGCATACTCATGGCACAATCATAGATCAAACACGTGAATTTAAGGGTCCACATTATCGATCTCAGTTAAATCACGGAGTTAGTTAGTGATGAGATAGTGACAATGTACTGCTGTCTTTAATACATATTTCAAGAGTACTTTTTTACTTTATTTAAGATGTTAAACTGAAAATATTTTTGTCTATTAAATACATTTATCATGGTCCTTACCTACAAATGCCACACATTTATTTGTTTATTATGGTTACTATGTTATCTTTGTTTCTCAACTTTTATTTTGTCTTCTAGCATATTTGTTCGAATTATTAAATATTCGATGTGATTTATTCATGCTTTAATTATAATTTAATTTATAATGATTCGCACATCCGGCTAACGTGTTTTAAATAGGACGAAACATGAATTCTGGATTTGACTGGTATATACATTATATCTATTTCATCAATACTTGTGTGGTGTATGCTACTGATGTCAATAGGTATAAGCAGTATCATCAATCGAAAATGAAATACCTGGAGGCAGAAGATCGAAGAAAAGAGAACAGGAACAGACAATGATTAGTGTGAAAATGAAGGAACAATAAAGTTTGAGACAATTGATTGATCTTTTGTAAATGAAGTATTTACTTTATGGTACTCAGATTTTACTATAAGATACTGTAATTTTGTGTTCAAATACATTCGACTGTCTCCACTTGTGTTCTCGTTCACTATAATATTAATAAAAATTCAAATATGCAGTGAATGAGAAAACATGATTGCAATACACAAAAGAAATAAGCAGACGTAAAATCTTTCATCTCAAGAAAGGTGATAGTAAGCAGTTCAAGTTTTGCAGTGTCTAGTATTGGGAGTTATAAACAATAATTCAGATAGTTAATGACTATGTAAGGTAACATGGCAGTGATGATTTTCATAGTTTTTGGGTAGCCTCGGCATACTATCTTACTGAATAATATGCTGCACGAAGTCAAACCTTGGCACCAGTACAACACATTGACCAAACGAAATCAAAATCTAGCGGCAATATTATATTTTTGGTACAATATAGAATTCTCAGTACAAGATATTTCAACAAGTTTCGTTTACAAAAAAGGGGAAAAATGAAAGGAACTGATAAGTGCATACATATATACATAAGTTAAGTAGATAAACTACTTGGAATTAAATGGAATGTTTTCTTTTGAAGAAGATTTGAATCTGTACAACTTTTTTATATAATTAGAAACATGTTTAAGAATATAATTTATTGATAGGTCAACTCTAACAACCTATTCGTCGCATAGTATATTTACTAGATAAGTTGTTGTAGAGCTTTTATACCTTTGCTTGAGTGCATAGATTCTAAAGTACTGACGTCACGTTCTACCAGAGGATATACAAGGAGAAAGACATGGATGAAGTGGATAGTTAGAATCTGATAAGATAGCTAACTATCCACCTTAATGTTTCTGATAAACTTCTAACAAATGGAAATTAGTCATACTCAATTAATTCCAAATCTATAATGCTATGAAACAACAAATATTAACCAATCATAAACAGTTTTATAAAATATCCGATACACTTCTACCTGGAAAACAATACTGTAAGACTCAAATTGCTTAAAATTGGGTATCCTTATACGTATTGAAAACAGGTAGTGCAATATAGAATATTAGTCTGGCCGTTCCATCCAATCGACTGAATGACATATGATGCATGCATGCACATACACTAATTCCGCTTTGTATTTTCATGGGTAAAATTTGTTGATCAATAATTATGTAGAGCAGATACTATTTTCCATGTAAGTGAGACGAATAAGATATTCAGAGTACACACAAACACAGAATACGATCAATATAAAGCAATCATAAACAATACATTCAGGAGCCAAATAATGTAGTAATTAGGCATTGTTATTTAAATTTCGAATTTCACTAACGCTGACTAGAAGGGGGGGAAACCGATCAAACTCAATGATGAATATGAAGGGGAAAGTATATAACCCAAAAAATTCTTACCTATAAAATTTTTAACATTTAGAGTAAGCTTAACAAAACCTTTAGACTCATAGAATTACATAATGCTATTGAGCCATAGTGAAAAGTAATGTTTTTTGGAAATTAAGTGTCATAAATATTGTTGATACAAACAAGATCAGTTTTAAGATCTCGTTTTATGCTTCTCAAAATTAATTTGAACGTAGAAACTTTAGGTTAAACTAGTTATCTTATGGCTATGATAAGATTTTGCATTTTTCTTATAAACGAAACCAACCAGAAATTGTAATAATCCTAGATGTGTATAGTTTATTTGTTTTTACTTGAACATAAATATTGGCACAAGAAGGCACCAAACAGATATGCAGCACAAATAATTCGATATGTGTGACAGCTCGGATACCGCCCAGGTGTTTGAACCGAAACAGGTGGTTTTCTCAGGGGGTCACACTCCGAAACTTCAACCTAAAGGTCTAATCCACAAGGCAGTGGAGCAACGTAAGGAGATGTAGTCTCATGGTAACCGGTGAACATTTGGTTCATACGCTATTCGTTCCTTCAGGATACTGGAGCCAATATGCACCATCGGTTCGGAATAAGGGTTTTCTAACTCTCATTTTCGTAAACAACGGTGATGCCGCGAGAAGGCATTGAGTAGAACTTCTCAGACAGTGGTTGTATACACGTGGCCATGTGAGAGCGTCTCGAGAGGAAGAGCTGACTCTCTCCACCCTCGGTCGTACCAGGGCATTTGGGGGCAAGTATGTGTCGAGGGTGGGATTCGAACCAACGCCCACATCGTGGACCATAACACCCAGAAGAACACTACTGAGTCTGGCGCCTTAGACCGTTAGGTCACTCTAACGTATAGTTTAAATATGTCCGCAAAAAGAAAGCTAATTTACAGTAAGAAATAAATTGTATATTTATTATTTACACACACAAGAATTGAGGTAATAATTAAGTTTAAATAACTGTATTTATCATTAGAAGAAAAAGGAGAAAATAGAGAGACTGGAATCAGACATGAAGGGAATTCTTAAAATAACAACAGGTATAATACTGAAAAGTATAAGAAACAAAGTATTCAAAATATAATACAATTTTAGCTCACAAGGACAATAGAATATGTTATTCTAGTAGTGTATTAGTAAATCAATTGTACCTATTTCATATTAACTGAGGCATACACAGAAAAAGTAGATTATACATACTAATTTGCACAACACCTCCCTAAAGTTATTCATTAACTGGAATCAAACAACAGATGCAAAATAGAGTAGGGCTGTGCAGACAATACAGTGGACTGGAGACAAAAAGATTATAAAGCTTTAAAACATGAATAAAAACGTAGTAAACACAGAAAGATATTGAGAATAATAATCCAAAACACAGTACTGAGTCCATTAGATAGGGAACCCTAATGAAATTAGAAAACATGTACACATTATATAGTCTGATAAAATTCTAAGTATAAAGATTAACGCACTAGAAAGGTTTAACTGAAATGAGAGTTGTGAAGTCGAATATACAACTAAGTATTAATAATAATTAGAACCTAAAAAATCTGGTCAAACAAAAAGGTAATCAGGTATTTGGACAAAAGAACATGTATGTATGTATTAGTGTTAAGGTAGTATGGATTGGGGCCTGTGTAAATTACGACTTAGTACTGAACGTACATCGCTCACAAACCTAAGAGCATCCAGTACTGGTAGCAAACATAGAAGGGCTGTATCACGTGAATCGGAAAACCACGACCGAATCGGAATAGCATTATCTGTAGGTATTAAAATAAAGATGGATAAGCATCAAAATAAGAGATAAAAATAAATTTATTAAATCGACTCATTCACTAGGTATTTGAGTATAAGCCACTCAAGGTGTAAGAATTAATTATACAACCCAGCTACCCAAACAGATGTGGGTAGAGCGGGGTACGAACTTGAGACTTAGTGAATGGAAGCCGAGCCATTTGACTACTACTACACGACAAAAAGAGAGAATTACTAGTAAAAGTCCAATAACTCTAAGCAAATAAATAAACCAAAAGAATATTGATAAAACAGATGAGTTGTGACTAGGAGTTGGATCAAGGACCCACATTTCGTCCTGTTTGGGACTCGTCAGATGTATGGACAGCATCCTATCGTTGATATTCACACTAGGATTTCATTACTAACAACAATTAATCTAAAATGAATAACTTGTGTCATCATGTTTGTATCGAGGCAATCCATACATGATGCACATACACCAACAAATACTGATCAAAATCCAGTCCTAAATATCAACAAGATAATTCAAACTATTTCTAATAATGATATAAGCATATTAATATTTCTCAAGTGAAAAACAAACAAAGCAGTAGAAATATCAATTTTAGAAGAACGTATAGGTGTTGACAATGATATGTAACCAACCGTTATCATAATGTAGATTGAAGCTATAGTGGCATAGTTACTTTTGCCAACGAAATAACTTTATCCCTATATCCAAACAATACACCCTGAAGTTATTTATCAAATGACCGTAACAAATAAAGTGTTTGTAATGACACTCCCTTAATTCACTTCTGAGATTGACGGCACAGTGATAGATGACAACTAAATATACTTGGGAAGCTGAGTAAAAGACTTCAAAAGATATTTTAACTGATTTACCGTCGTAACAACTCTGGTCAAAATATGTTGAGCATGTTTGACAGCTGAACATTATTATGCTCGATGATGAAAGTGTTTAGAGAAAGCTTCAACCAATAACATGGTACAGTACATCGGAACTGAAGAACCATTTTCAAGCTTTTTTTACAAAGATGGATATATTTCTGTCGAGGAAGAGAGACTTGGTCATTTGAAAATATCTGGCATGTTGAAATGAAATAATTGAAGTTTATGTGTGATTAGCAGTTTGTACTTACATTTCCAAAAGTATAAACCTAGGAGTATATATTTAGCTATAATTAGACCTTTGTCGCATTCGTTTTAAAAAGGGTAGGGATTTGATATAAATTGTCTGAAATATTTACTTTCGTCATACAGTGCAGATCTGTGAGAAACGCGTGAAAGACTACCAACGAAAAACAGAGAGTATTTCATTTAAATGGTGTGTACATTCATTACAACTACGCCTGGAGCCCCTCTGAGGGCTACTGCTGGTCCCAGGCCCGGATAAAGGAGGAAGGTTGGGCATGGGGTTAGCGACCCCATCCCGTAGAAAACTAACTCGCCAAAAAAACACTAACCCTTCACAAGGTGGTTGATAACACTCATGCAGTGATTGTTATTTGATATAAGAGTCGCTTTACTTTTGTTGGACAGAACTGTCTTCTGATACTGGATACAAATGAAAGTATCGTTGAGTCAATCGTCAACATACTGAAAGTTCTTCGAATAAACACAATGTGGGAGTGGGGGGCTTAATAACATCATTTTCATCGGTCTGTGATAATATACTCATTACATACATTGCGCTTAGCTTGCCATCAGCGACAGTGCGTATAGTAATTATTTCGCATTACTGAAGTTTATAACACTAATATGATAATGTATATGCATTGATTAGTTGAGGTTAGTCATTGAATATAATCAGAAGAACCTTACTTCTAGAAGGTTGTATCATGGTGCAACGAGTTATATCTTTTCCTAGTAAAAATTGGGGTGAAATACATCAATATAAGCAATCTTTGTTGTCACTGTCCCGTTGTTAATAGATGGACGAAACTCAACTACAGGTTATTTAACCGACTCTTCATATGTGGAAAATAAAAATTGTCTGACACGGACGTGAAGTCAGATTGCAAAAATTATCAAACAAACGTTTAACAACGACTCAAATTTGAAAGGACCTTAAATTTCCTTCGAAAACAAGCTAGACAACAGATGAAGTTGAAATATGGTAATAAATTACACAAAATTACCAGGATATGATCGATAGGCCCCTGGAGAATTGTCTAATATGAATACAGAAGCCATATCAGAGGTAATTAGGGAAAGATTCTTTGAATAGCTGCCATTATCATATGTACAATGCTAAAACAGTAGATAAACAAAAAAACACCAAATAAGCGCTTCCTTAAGGCACCAAGACATTCAACAACATAGAAATGAGAGATTCAATTAGTTATAATCAACCGAGGACCTGGCATAAACGTGCTAAGGTCCAAATCACTAAACCACTAAAGTTAGCAAACGATTTACATTTATTAACACCGAAACATTATGGCTTTCAGTCTTACATCTATCTTAAAGATAGACATATGATCCTAGAGTAACTTATGAAACCGGATGACCAGAAATATTACATTTTTTGTCTTAATTGAAGTCTAAAATGCTTATTGTAAACTTTTTATGTATCGAACGTAGACAATTCTTGAACGGTTGGTTTAATTTCATTTAATGGTAAAATGACACGTAGAAGCTCTGGTTTTCCTAGTAACATTGGGTTTTCATTACATTGTTCTACAGTGCAGAAAACCTCTATGAGAAATATAGACATTTATTATCAGCAATTTAGATTCACAAATGACCTGAGAACTCGTAAGTACAGCAAACTGGTTGTTTTCTATTTAACTGCTACCTTTTTATGTTTATTTCTCATTAAACATAACTGAAGACAATAAGTCCACAGATATCGTATAGAATGGACTACGAAAGAAAGGTATTATGTTAGGGTGGTTAATTTATGTTAAAACGTTTATACTGGCTGAGTACAGGTCAAGTAAACACACACCAATTAACTTATCTGAGATGGATAAAAAGGTAACATAGACATAACATAATCATAACGTGCCTACCAGATTCACACAAAATTAGATAACTCATACTCTCCAAGGTTGTTACTTTCATTTAGATTATAACTATTTAAACTTAAACCCAGCATTCCAATGCTCTAAACATTCCTAGTTGGTAACATAAGGCTATGTCGTTGGTTGTTCTCCTTCAACTGTTTTTTAGAGTTCTTTGTTCAAAAACGAGGTGACTGGACAATAAATACAAGACGATTGTAACCCATTATAATCTTGTTTTGTAATCGACTACTGTGGGATGGGAAAGTCTAAGACAAAAAAGTGGTTTTGTTGATTGGGTTGGTGATTAGCACGAATGATCATCTTAAGAAAAATGGAAATCAGGAATACTACATGATAACAATTTAATCTAACATACATGTAGAATATAAGCGATATTGTAGGAGAATGATGGTACTTGGCTGATTTCAACTCCACATGTGATCACACTTCACGCAAACTCTTCAGAGTTTGAAATGAGGGATACTATCCTAGAGATCATATGGGATCGATCCTAATAATCTTTAGGACTGAGTATTTATAGGATAGAAGTATAGATCCTCCACTGAGGAATAATTCGCCAAATAGATCAATATTTGCAACTTATATATCTATTTGTACAATGTTGTCGATTTATAGATCTTGAAAGAGGACTTGATCCCACATCTTTTGATGGATATCAAGAAGAATAGAATTTATTTTAAATTTTACACTAATTGTATTACCGAACAAGCAATTATGGACGTAACGCTGAAATGGAAATAATTTCCTCAACAATAACCGACCTGTCTGTAAAATCGTCTCTGAAGAATATGGCGTCCATTGTCGAGCAACTCAGTTACTCCTGCTCCGTAAATTTCAAGACTAGCTGTATATATTACAAGTTCGTACCACTGGCTTATCTAAAGAGAATCATCAAAATTAGAACAGGCTATTAAATTCAGAATTCGTAAATATTACTTACGTTTTAGTAGGGGGTAAGAATGTTCATAATAATTTAATCAATAAATTATGCGGCAAGTAACAGAACGACAAATCAATTGGAATTTAATCAGTTACATACCTAAACTTTTTACGATAAAAGTTGACGTGGTCAAAGTCAGGAGGAAATACACTGGGAACCTTTAAATTATCCATTGAAAAAATCGGTGACCACAAAAAATCTCTTAGTCATTACAATCGAAAGTTTTGTGAACTATCTGTCTTGTGGATTAAACATCTAAGCCAAAGGCTCGGGGAGTGGCCTCCTAAGGAAACCACTTGCTTCAGTCTAAGCACCCGAGCAGTATCACGACTCTCACACAAATTAATGATAACTACTGCTGGTCTCATTGTTACTGTGTGGAGAATATGTATTTGGTGCCCCTTATACCCATGTTTATGTGATCAAATAATAAATAAAATAAATACAAAGAGAAGTAAGACCTGAAGCAAAAAAGAACCTGCATGGACAAATATCTTAGTTAGGTGGGGACAAAGAAGACTTTAGGCTCAAAACCCATGTTATACAGAATTCCGAGGACAATCTTGATCTTAATTTCACGTTTTGTGATTAATTGACCTACCTAAAGCTTCCGAAGTTATCAGTTTCGCCACACGCAGATAGCATGAAGACATGGAAAGTAAAACGAAATGCAGGGAATATTGCAAGGTTTCAAACAGACCGATAATTAGTGAATGCTAATAAGTCCTGTCAAGAGCATTATGATCCCTACTAGTCAGTGATGTGGGGATAATTACATAATTATTCACCGTCGATCAAAAACCCACAACGGACCATAAAACACTTCAAAACAACTGGATGGTAAGTGGTTCTACAGTCGCACTCTTAGAATACTTTGGGCAGGATACATGCCGTTTGATGATTTATGTCAAAGCGTTTACAATACTGAGTACAGTAACAGTTTGTCTAAAGCTCAAATATCGTAAATATAGAGGTAATTCTTTTCTGAAGTTTTAAGCAAACTTGACGGGAACTGTCTTCAGAATTTTCAGGCTTTCGGGTGGTACTTTATTCAGATAAAGCTGTTATCATATAGAAGGATCCGAAGTGGACTAATCACAGTTTTTTGGATTACTTATTAACCACATCGGTATTATCATAACCTTGCCTACTTCTCTACCAATATCAAAAACATATAAGGATGCCAAAAGTCGTAATGAGTCCCCTAATAATTAAAATACCCCATTTTCAAAGGCGACAGCAGCTCCATCCTTAAACTTATCTAGGAGAACAGATCAAGTGAGACCTATGTTGTCTGGACTAACATAAACATCTTAGTTGTCTAACTTTAATAACACGACTTAGTATACACATATAGCAGGAAAAAATAGTTTGAGCATTAGTATCATAAATCACAGTATGACTCATAAAATTGTAATACCTTTAAGGATACTTAAACTAGGTATTTGAAAACTGATATAGACCTACTTACATGCATTTAGTTGATAAGTGAAGAAAATACACGTTAATTAGGATATAAATGCGTTACTTTGAAGCCTTTGAGAAAAACACAAAATCTGATATTAAAAAACTTACCACATTGAGGAAAAAATCAACATGCGGTCGTTTATGAACGGAGAAGCGAACCGGATGATGGTCAATAAAAACTTTGAGAACGAAATCTGGAGGTGTTCCTGGTCTGACCGTTGGCCGCATTATCCCATCGTGCACTGAATGAATCAGTGTCTCATCCAAATCTAATACCATAACTTTTCGTCTTAATGTACCTGAAGGAAAGAAATAAAGTTAGAACTTTTATACGTCCGAAATTATAAAACATTTTAATCGGTAATTTTATTTCTTGTCATTAACAAAATACAGGGATCATCTTAAATATTCAGAAAATGATATAAGATGTAGGTCATTTATCAAGCTTTTAATCACACTACATGTAAACTAACGACGACACCATGCTGACCAGACTGAAGTCGATGTGGCAGGACCCATACCTGTAACATGATGGTTGGAAATGAGATACCGACCATTAAGCCACTACTCTATATTTTAATGAAATAATTGTACTATTTACTAGTGAACGATTTCTGATATCACATAGTAAGGTGATATCTACAGACACATAAACATTGGCACAAGAAGGCACCAAACAGATATGCAGCACAAATAATTCAATGTGTGACGGCTGGGATACTATCCAGGTGTTTGAACCGAAACAGGTGGTTTTCTCAGGGGGTCACACTCCGAAACTTCAACCTAAAGGTCTAATCCACAAGGCAGTGGAGCAACGTAAGGAGATGTAGTCTCATGGTAACCGGTGAACATTTGGTTCATACGCTATTCGTTCCTTCAGGATACTGGAGCCAATATGCACTATCGGTTCGGAATAAGGGTTTTCTAACTACCCTAGGTGGGTCCTCCATATCTACCAACCCGGTCAAAGCGTCGGACATTCGCTTTTCGTTCTCTCAATTTCGTAAACAACGGTGATGCCTCAAGAAGGCAGTGAGTAGAACTTCTCTGACTGGTTGTATACACGTGGCCATGTGAAAGCATCTTGAGTGGAAGAGCTGACTCTTCCCACTAATGGAGGACCAGAGGCGCCCTATGCCTAATTCACACACGCAGATTCAGTCAGGAATTGAAGAAGGGTTTTGATTATGAATACAGTGGTCTTGAGTGCTGTTAGAGGTATGAGGGCGGTTATCACTTCCCGGTCGCCCACATCGAAGAAGGGTTCTTCTGGAGGTACCTGAAAAGGAAATTGAATTAGGGGTGGTCTTAGTGATCTGAGAGCGTGGCCGCAGTGCTCAAGGGACAACTGATTGAGGTTAGTCACACACGACCTTTTTACGAGTAATTTTTGTGTTAGCTCCGTACTTGCTGAGACCATACCGCCGGAGACGGATATCCGTGGGATAAGGCGAGGTGTGCATTTTTAGGGTCGAGCTTTTCTAAAGACACCCCTCTTTGTGGGGAGGCAGCATCGCTGTTATGCTGGTTGTCTGAAGGAAACACCCTACTGCTGTCACACCTCTGTACAGTCAGCAGTACGACTTCGCCTTCGGACCTTGGGTTTGTTGCTTTTAGTCTTGCCGCTCTTCAACCGACCTGTCTGACATGGTAAAACTTTGAGGAGCGGTTGTTCCAGCCAGTATAGCTCGGTTGCTTCATCACGATAAGCAAGCCCGACCACCACGTCAAGGTAGCAACAACGGTCGGAACAGACGCAGATTGGGTGCTTTCGATGTTAAAGTGACATCTACACAACATCGAAATAAAAAGACCTTAACAAACTTGCTGTTTGAATGGTCTTAAAGGGATGAAACACCTATAAACTCATTGTTTACCTAGTGGTATTACGAATGGTGAAAATAATGGATTATTCAGAAAACTACCGCTCACTAAAGTGCGCCATCTCCATACTTTACCAGTGAGTTAGCAAATCAAAGCAACCCGAGAATTCAGGTGTAAACATTTATTGAAAACCTGTTTCTTCAGGTGAATAAGGTTTTTAGAGGCTACCGAGAAGAGGTGGTTTAGTGGTCAGCGAATATAAGCACAGCCAACCTACTTAAATCCCGACAATATCGATTACTATTAACTGCTATACGTGTAGCGTCGTCTGTTATGCTATTGTTACTGCTTCAACATCTTAACATTGAAACACGTGTAGAACGAGAGGAAACATGTCAGCACCAGTAAGCAGATGGAACCTGATCACTGACTAAAGTATTATGAACTCAGGTTTTAGCCGTACTACACTACTCGGAAACCCAGACCGTTACAGGTGAGACAAAACTTACGGGAAGTGTAGGACTTCATATACTAAGCCATAATTATAACTTCGCACATATACTATGAAAATTCCTATTCGAAGCGCAAATGCATCTGTAGAGGTTGTTTTCTATAGTCTATCCTGAAACGGCGTTCCAGTTATTGACCCCGGAGACTCGGTTTACTTGATCGTCGTTTCCGAAAATTTTTATGATTGCTATGATGACCAGTCTTACATATAGAGATTTTTCCAGTCCAAATATAAGCTTAGGAGAAATAACCAGTGCTCTAATCAGTAGTGGTAGTTTGTGAAAAATTTTACTTTTCAAACACGAAGAAAATAATTGAAACCCTTAGAGAAAAATACAGTGTTCCCCTTAGTGGAATGTTCTTAAGTTCATTTGCACCAGATCACTTCACATTGTGTTAAGTAATCTGAAAATCCCAAGTGTCCATGGTACTTTATAATAATACAGACTACTACAACACAATACAAAACCCGAGGTATTGAACAGAAAACTTTCATAAACTTACACAACCGGTACTTAGATAAGGGAGATAAAGGAACAATATCATATTTCACACTTTGGTATTTTAATGCCTGTAATAAGGTCAGTGTGTGTAAATGAGAAATCATACTGTTTTTAAGTGCCTTCTGAATATCAGGCAAATCATGCTCCACAAACTAGCTATCAAGAGTTTGAGGTATCCCTTGTAGAACACAGCATACGTTCTCATGTTTATTGGCAACGCTCCTAGGGTATCGTCCACTGATGGGGGTTGCGAGCACTTGAAGGTCAAACTGTCGCAAAATGATTGGTGCGTCACATCGACAATTCGTGAAAATTTTCAGAAGCGGTCAAATCAAGACATTTTTAGATTTGAATTGAGTTCAGCCACACTATGTCTGATAACGTTCATTCTTCAAGTAACGAAGACGATTCCATCGTGATGATGCATGATATAGGACGAATCTTCAATGATATTATGTTATCTCGAAGATTTACAAGTTGGGACAATTTTGAGACCTGTTTGAAAGAAGTACATAAGGTAATATGACCTCTGTGGTTAACAATTATTTTCTTAGTATACGCATACTGAGTACGTTATGTCAGTATGCAAAAAGAACAGTGATGATCCAACTCTAAAGTACTTTTTCGTGAGATATGTATGTACATATGGACGTAAACGCAGTTCGTCAGTGTCAGACGCTCGCGTTCAGGATGTAGATGATGATTGTAATCATCATTCTTCTGAAGAGCATACAACTTCTAACTCGCCAACACAACCTAGACAAAGGAGACAACGTCGGTCATCTACGTATGCCTTACTTCAAATGAATTTATCCTTCAGGTCGAAATATTGCCACTGTAAATCAGGATTTCGGGTCCGGGCACTGAATGGTGAGTTGAAACTCACCTCTGTTAAAACCGTGCACAACCATCCTTGCACAGAAGGATATATTTCTGTCGATCCATCGAAACGACAGTTGACCTCAAGTGAACGCTTGTATTTAAGAACGTTTCTACTGAGTAATACACCAACTCGTAGCTTACGGTATCTGGTTTCTTTGAAGTTCAATAAACAACTTACCAAGGACGATATCGCCAGAATGCGTTCACAGTTGTACCCAGGTTGTTGAACTCACATTGTAATTAATTGAGTTTAGACACTAAAAATATCAATAACATTTTACAGCGCATTCAAGCAAATACTGAAGTTAAAGTATTCAATGAAAACGGGAACATGTCTATGATTTGCTTCAGCCGCAGATAGCAAATAGCTGTTTACCACGCGTTCCCGGAAGTAATATGTATTGATTCGACTTATCAGACCAATAAAGTCGGGTAAGTTACGATTAGTAATAAATTTATCTGAAAGTTTTCCACTGTTCCAGCTAGTGGTCACTGATAATCTTGGGCAAGGGCACACTGTTATGTATGCTCTTTGCAGTCAAGAACGACGCGAAGATATCGAAAAACTATTGGAATGTTTTAAAGAGATAATGTGCGGTACTTATGCTACACGCACTTTCATTATGGATTCGGCAGCGACCGAAATTTCGGCTGTGCAGTCTACGCACAGTCATTCTAACATAATACTTTCTTCATTCCATGTCCTAGGAGCGTTTTTCAGGAAGGTATGTGTTAGCTGTACAAATTATTTTCTGTAGTTCCGAAATCCTGATGTGCGCAAATGCTTGGAACACCTTGTGAAGACTAGACGGTCTGATATGTGAGCTTCGCTTTTCATAGCGCATTATATTCAGATTTACTCGAAAGTACGGACATCTAAGAACGCATTTTCCACGGGCGTATGATTACATAAAAGATTACTGGATTGCCAGGAAGTCAATGTGGGCTCGCTGTTACCGGCGACATGTATTAAGCCTGGGCAACCACACAAACAACCGTGTTGAAAGTGCTCATAAACACCTAAAAGAATGTCTCAGAAGAGGTGATTCCCTATTATTGACGTTCTGGAAAATTTGGAGTAAAACAGACATTGATCTACGTTTGCGTCCTTATGACGCTGTGAAGGATCTTCAACGTTTTCCTATTCTTCAGGTAAGAAATATAGTTAAATGTATCATTAATTCCAGGTTCCAATGTCATTTCGAACTCTTCTAAATGAGTTCACATCTTTTGCAGCTAAAATTGTAGCTGTAAATTATAAACGTGTTCGGACAATGAGACACGAATTTATAGAAGGAGAATACATCCGGTGCTACGACAAGGGTATGATGTATGTTGTTGATACTTCACGTGCACGATGTGCTTGTGAGCATTTCAATGACTACATGCTGCCATGTGGTCATATTTTGTATGCACATTCTAAAGATCTGATTCACAGATGTATGTGTGTTCCTTTATCTCTATAAGTTTTGTAGACTTATTTCGACATAGCAACCGGTGGACAAGAAAATACATAATGGACCTGGTTCTTCGTGCGCTGGACAACATCTCAATCTCTACAAGGAGTGATGATCTGCTAGAGAAGTTTACTAGCAACTACCACTCAATCCATGCTCTTAGTGAACCTATGGCAAGTAAACTCATCCGTTCATGCCTCGAAGCATCGGAAGACATATGTGCACAATTGATGAGTTCATTCGGTGCTAATGATGAAGCTACAACGTCAGAATCCATTGTTAATGCAGACCATAGCTATGCTTCTTGCTAACAAGAAGTTCTAACATTGTAATCTTCTTAGTTTTACATAAATTCATTTATATGGCCATTGACTTATTCTTATAGCGTAACGGCAGGGAGTGTACTGTGCAGTCTTATGTGGCTGTGAGACAGGGAAGTTGTTTCGCGTTCTTGTGTAATAATTACCAGTTTGGCGCACACGCGATTAGTCATACATACCGTTTACCAAATACTGCTACCTTGAACATGGTGTACCATACTAGTAGTTCGGATTTCGACGTGTCACGATAGATAAGAATTGCCGTAATTAAGAGACTGGTGCGTTATAAGTGTAAACGTTTATTAAAGTTTGAATCTAGCACAAATGATCCATTAATAAATAACTTCTAATTCTCAGGAATTGTTCTCGTTAGGTCTGTGAACGCTTGCGAAGCTAGCTGGAAATAAGATAGACAGGAAAGTTATTTCAGTATAAATGTTTACCAGAAACTAGTATAAAAACGGAAACCAGTATGCAATTACAGATCGAAAGTGCATTTAGCACACCCTTCCTTTGGATAGTCAATCACGCTTATTTCCTTTATCTCTTGCGTTGCTTAGGAAAGTCTGGGTCACAACATACACGGATTGTATTATTTAATTCTTTGGGCAGGTTGCACTTCAGAAACTTAGACGATGAACATATATAAAGACTACTGTGTGAATTTACTTTCAATCGTCCTGTGTAACCTGAAATTCTTGATGCATATTCTATTCTAGTCCCACGTAAGTTATGAGTAATTGTCATTTACGGCATCAGCACGTAAGCTAGACAGGCCTTGGTTGATTTTCGAAGATCATCATATAGGATCTCACACAATCTGGTCACCTTAGATCAAGATATCTTGACTATCGAATCATACTTTTCAGTGCTTTCTCGTGACAGCTTTATATCAGTACTTATTTCTGATATTAGGTATTTTTGCAATAATACCGGCAGCCAAAACATTGTAGCTCCCCAGACAACCCAAAAAGGGAAAATAAAGGGGTAAATGCTTTGGTAGCGAAAGGGGAAAACACATCAGAATGTCGCATTTTTCGCCTGTCCAGAGGAAATAATGTGGATAAATTACTCACTTTTCGCCTAAATATCCCCCAAATTACCGAATTTTCGCCTAACTGTCCGCAAAATTGTTTACTTTTCGCCTAAATACACACAGAACTCCCTATTTTCCATCCATTGACATAACCCCAAAGGTCTACTATGTTCACCTTTATTTTCAACAACAGACCAAAATAAATCTGCAATACAGTGGAAAACCGGCATGTTTTTGAAAAATTTTATTTAAAAGGTAAAGCGTATTATTGTACAACACTAGAGCAGAAGCTTAAGCATCGATTGTTTTGCATATCCAATGCAATTGCTAATTCATTGTTATTTGAAATTATCTGCAAAAGAAGAAACACGTGATGTATTATTTATAAGGAATGTGCATTTATTCAAAAGTTCACTGACACTCAAACACACATTCTCAACACTTCTACAGTTTCCCATGTAAGTAAAAAAGTAGGCTGTTTGAAAAATATTTATTGAAATGTAGGTAGAACATCAAAACAATGGCACGGCTATTGAGAATTGAGGTAGTCGTCCCGTGAATTCAGAATTTAAAAAAAGAAAAAAGTCACAACCATATCTCAATGACATGCTTTGGTACAGCCAAATACTTGTGTAGATCTAAACAAGAGGTAGTAATGCTATCTTAGCTTCGTCTTTGGTAGAATCTCCACATAATTATACCTCTACCGCATGATTATGATTTATTTCCTGCAATACAATCATCTGGTGGCTAATATATCTAACTGTAGGAGGTGATATTAACATCTTAATATGTGTTATTATCATCTATAGCATATACATAATATTTACAACACTCAGGACACCTTATGTTTTCACTATAAACCTATTTCTGCCATAAAAGTCGAACAAAACAGTGAAAATCAGCAGAAATTGTGATAAAGATAGGAAAAACGATAAATCTTACCATGGTATCGTTAGTTGTAACGCAGTTTTCGTAGCCTTGACGACAATACAATTTATATGACGATATATGCCTGAATCTTCCTATTTCATATAAAAATAAAAGATTTGTCTACCATCAGTGTATACCTAAGTAGAAATAATTGCTAATCTGCGATGCAAACACCGAAAAACTATTATAGCAGCACCTGAATAATGAATTTTCAAGGACTTCACGATACCATGTAACGCAAAATGGAAAAACCCCTTTTCACCCAATTATGAAAACGGAAAATAGACTTTCAAATTTATTCATAATGTATTTCGAAATTTGGTTGTGCACAAAGCAGAAATGAAAAAGTAGCGCAAAAAAGTGTCGCGATACCCCTGGAGCGCTGCCATGTTTATGCATGAAGACGTTTCAAATCACCCGGCCAATAGGGGAGACAAAAAACAAATATACGAGGGAAATCAAGTGAATCTGAAGTTGAAATTAATAACAAAACAACTCTGGGACCATCAGGAGAATTCTAAATCCTCAGTTTCAATGAATACTGGTCTGAAATGACGTTTCAACTTAGCCAACCTCACGACGCAGAGCACATGTTTTTGAACGCCAGGACTGATTGAACCCACTGCACGTTGATGCCTAAGAACGACTCTGATGGGTTCCACATTACAACCTTGAATATGAGCGGAGCCCGACGTCGTCATCACTGACCAAATGGAGATCTCACACTTGTAAAACAAGCGATTCTTCATCGATCTTACAGTAGCGCCACTAATCTCGACATGGAAGTTTAATTACGACCTTTATTGAACAATAAGAATCGTGAAACTTCCGTAGTCTCTGAAGATTGGCAAACTTCAACACGTTCTGAAAGACATTACCTTCAAAAGAACCTGGAAGACCGCTTTTCGAGAACTAGTTCTATCAACATTCCAACCACTTCACTTATTTTTTGTGCGTTACAACATCGTGTTGGATTTGTAATTTTTGTGGTGCTCCAAAACAGCTGCGTTATACCTACACGTACATATTTATGTCTTCTTCCTGTATATTTCCTAAACCGCGAACAAAACGGTAAAATTCTAACCGTTTTTATCAGACAGTCATTTCATTTTTATTTATTTTTTCGGCCGACTCAAAAGAACGATAATAAGGGAGGAAAAAGGCGGTGATCTTGCGCCATATATTTGCATATTGATCTTTTTATACTATTCCAAGGGGCGAATCCGTATTTCAGGAGGGTGAAATTTTGGCGTACTATGGTCCATTTCTCCTAACTGAGCGCAGTTGCAAGTAACTTCAGATGCTCAGTTTTCAACTATCAATTCACATCCCGTGCTGATCTTTCTTGTCTTAACGAGTATTATAAGTTAATAGCAAACGTTCAAGCATAAACCCTTATTCCCTGTGAAATCTAGAACTATTCCTCAATCTTACAAATGACCACGCAAGTAGTCTAATACCATTTCCAAACCATGAGTCAATTAAAGCCGGGCCACCATGGAAAAGCTGGAAGCAGTGGACGGTGGGACAATTTTGTGGATTAATTGAAGTTAGACATTAACACCGTTGGATGCCTGCCCAGTGGTATATAGGTAAAGCGTTTGCGCGTGAGACTGAAGGTTCAGGGTTTGGCTCTCGCGGGGCGGGATCGTGGACGAGCACTGCTGAGGGGTCTCACACTGGAATGAGACGGTCGTAAAGTGCTTCCAGAATTTCCGTGGTGGTCTTGCTTTAATTAACTCAATAATACATGTGATAGTTAAAAAGGAATAACTAGGGCAAATATAAGCTTTTTATATTTTCAGCTTTTTTTATTACATCGGTTGACACTATACTCTGAATCTACTCTGCAACCCGTTTCAATAATTTCACGTATAAAATTGTAGAGAATGCCATGCTTTTCAAGATCACGAACTAGTCTACAGTGGAAAAAACTTAGAAACAGAGGAACATATGCTCTCTAGCGATTTGCTTCGTGAGAAAATCTGTGCTCTTAGTTAAAGGCTGAGACCGGTGGAGGTAGACCATATAAAGTAAGGGAAAGCTACTCAACAAAGTCAATGAAATACGGTCGCATGCTGTCATGAGCTGACAGAAGTTAAATTCGTACATCAACTGAATCCTGACCAGTAGTTCAAAGTTTAAGCAGTACGTCGAGAGACGGAAGATCCTTAGCTTGGCCCGTGATGACACCGTCGTAGATGTGCGTTGCTGTAAAGTTACGGACTATGGTAGAAAGTTTAACCAGTGTTCCGAGATTTTCAAAGGCTGTTTGACTTAGGTTAGCTCGTGATATCAATAGAACTATTTTTCAATTTATATAACTGTTTGAACATGTGTCATACAGACTAACCTGTTCATAGAAGTTGACTCGAAAGAAACGCCGCTAAACATGTGACTCATTTTTTGTTGTCTGAAAATTTCATAAAGTTTATTGGGCCAAAACAGATGGAACTAACGAATGATACTCTTCCACCGACTAACTAAAAGATAAAAACGTTTCCATCATTGAGGACGAATTTGAAAACCGTGGCGTGACATTTTTAAATTCAGGAACTCAGTAATTGCATTGATTCTAACTTTTCATACGTGACTGATAAAAGTTAGTTCTGGTTGCTGAGTGTATTGTGATCAACATGTCAAGTCCCAGTGGGTCAATGGTCACTATCTACCCCCTGTCTTACCATAAAGAATACTTTGTGAGTGTAGAAGTATCACGTGGAAGGTGTTGAGGATGTCACAGGTATTCAGTGTTTGACAACGCTTTTACCAGTAACACCCTCTAATATAATTCGTTCCCATCCAGAGAAATCAAAAGACAGAGTCGAGGAGATCGGGAGAGCGTATTTGGCGATAACCAATATATCGGAATTCTCTGATCTAATCTGGCTAGCGATTGCGGTTGATGTTGTGCACGGCGTTACCACACGTGATCTGGTGTGGATGCATGACCGAGCGCCTTCAGCTAGATGAGTCCACTAAAACATATGGTCAGTATCCAATGTCGGAAACTTGGAGCTATTTATTTTGGGGATTTATTTACCGCTACAGTGTGAATAAGGCGAAACGATATTGACAGATAGATTCGATAAAGTATTTTTTAACAGTTGAGACAGTCAAATGAAGCAAAAAAATTTATACCAGGTTTCGATTGTCGAATTTTTAAATACTAATTTGTGGTCACTAATCGTAAGCTCTTGAAAAGAATGATAAACAACGGCGGCACCGCGTACTCCGGGTTGTTTGAAACTGGGGTCTGTAGTACTTGATCTGTTATATTTGTGAGTATTGCCAGAAATTCGTTTCTGAATATCCATGTTATACAGTCACCCCTATTTAAAATCAGCTTCTTTCTGTCCGAAATACTTTTTGTAAACCAGCTTAGGTACTAAAACACAGTCAAATTCAAAGGAATTAATCCTTCAAATCATGTTGGTTTCGGCTTGCTAATGTGTAAATTCAACATTTTTTGAACATTTTAATACATATGATCTCTCTCTACTAGACCTTTATGCTGCTTATAAATTTACTCTGAGCCAAATTTTAAGATTTGTCGTTTTTCCGTACTATAACTTAGCTGTTTAAAAGATAGTGGTGTTATTCCTCTTTGAGTTAAGTTTACTGTTTTGATCGTCAATTACGCATCAAAACTACTCTCTCTCAGTTGAATTTATTGACTTTGCTTTTGTGCATTTATTGGATACTTGGGTGACTTTGACTTGATTTATTCAGTTAAGGTTTGAAATTTTTTTACATATCCATTTTTGTGTTACCATTTTTAGTTCAATTTTAAGATGGTCAGCTCTGCTCACAAATATGAGCAGTCATATTGCTTATTCCCTGTGGAAGAAGGAATGCGATGTGATGTATAGGTTGACTAATATTTTAGCTAAAATCTGGGAGTTGGACGTTATCCCATCTGACTGGTCACAATTACTTATCGTCCCAATATATAAGAAGGGGTCGAAATCATCCTGTGATAACCTTAGAGGGATTAGTTTAACTGATATAGCATCTATAATACTAGCTCTAATAGTTATCGGACGCCTAACAAAGACTCGTGGACTGCATATACGAAAAAAATCAGGCTGGCTTCAAACCTGATCGTGGCTGCATCGACCACATATTCACTATTCGTCAGATCTTGGGACACAGGCATGCTTATCGGCGTCCGATAATTATGGTCCTTCTTGACTTAGGAGCTCCATTCGATTCTGTAGATTGAGGTTCTGTGTCAGTGTCTGTCATTGAAAGGTGTACCTCAGATGTGCATAAAACTTGTAAAGGCTCTTTATTTCAACACTACAAGTCGATTCAGAGCTTACAGATAACTGTCATCCGATCTTGCAACCTCATGTGGTGTCCGACAATGCTGTCCACTATCTCCATTTGCGTTGAATTTCACCATAAACCTATTGCTGGAAATAAAATCCTCGTCGATTGAATTTTCAGGAATTAATCTCTTTGCAGGAGGCTCGCTTATCGGCTTAGACTACTCAGATGACATAGTTCTGTTTGATGAAGACGCTGATAAAATACAGCCTCTTGGTAGCACTGCGCAACAACGCCAGGATATTTGGGATGCGTTTCTCCCCATGTAAATGCAAGTTGATTCTTCAGGACTGGTTTGAGTGAACACCTGAACTAAGGATTAGGCGCGAACTATTTGAACGCGCCGACACGTCACTTATCTTGGAAGTCTGATCAACCCTAGTGTGTTGGTGTCTGACGAAATCTCTGCACGGATTCGAAAAGCTCATTTGGCTTCTGCCAACTGACGTCACCTATGGCGAAGGCAAGATATCCGTCTACCAATTAAGGGACGAGTGTATTGCGCAGTAGTTCGTTCTGTTCTACTTTACGGCTGCGAAACGATCATTAAGAGTAGAAGATACTTGTAAGCTACTAGTATTTGATCACATAGCTCGCATCTGTTGGAATCACTGGATAAGTGATAGTGAGGTTAGATGTAGAGCATTAAGGAATTACAATAAATCAGTCAATGAGGTTGTAAATCTTCACCGACTGAGATGGTTGGACTACGTGGTACGATGCGCAATGCTGACCAGTGTTGGAGACGGTTGGAAGAAAGTCAGGGGCGGTCAAACCAAAACGTGTCATCAGTGCTAAAAGTCACTAACTTCTGGCCTGAACCATGTTTGTAGATGCAGAATACTTAGTTGGGGTTTGCGTGAATATCGTAACCAATGGTTGGAGAATGTGTGACATGGACCACAATGTCGTAGATGTATACACTCTGTTTTCCCTTAAACTATAAGGTTAAAATCGCTTCATATTTTTCTGCGAACTAATTCTTTCTTACTATATTTTATCCTTATATGCGATCTTTCTTTTATATATTACCAACATTGAATTGACCGATTCTAGTTATATTTTTGCCAACTGAACTGTTTCTCCCATATTTTATTATTATCTCACTCATACATTAATTTCTGTTCGTTGTCGTTCTTTTACTATAACATTCTCTATCTCTTCACAACCTCATTGTTATTGTGCTATTGTGTGCATTTGGTGCTCTCTTGTACCAATGTTTTTTTGTTCAAATAAATATGATAAATAAATACATGCTTGTTTTGAAAATCTAGTCTTCTGTCATAAATCTTTATTATTTAATCAGTGTTTTCATCTGAACTCTGTATTAATTTGTTAATAGCAGTGACGATTTTGTGAAAAATGTCCAATTTTGCCAATCTTATGATCACCACAAATGCATCAAAATTAAGATCTGAAAAACGTTATCCGCTTGATATAACTTTGGGTCAATTGAAGGTATTAGTAATTCAGTTCATTAATTAGTCATTTTTAGGAGAAGCTAGTTTTAATTACAGGTTGCGATAACCGTACAATGAAAGTAGAGTTGTTTGATAATGAGGATAGATCCTTGGGTCAATTAGTTGGTGATGATAAACCACTTTATGATTTCGGGATTGAAAATGGGATGCACATTCATGTAGCAGATCCTACGATACAAGATGGAGCATACGATCAAGTTGAGGAACCGGTTGAAACTTACCAAATATCCGCTGAGGAGTATGCAAAACGTGAGGGTACGTTAATTACTGTTGTTTGTCATTATTAGACTTGTGTATTAATGTTTGTACTCAATTTTACAAAGTTATTAAAGTCTTTCTTGTAATTTGAGAGATAAGTATCAATCATGTGCTAACAGGTCGGGTATTTTTGAATGTTGTTGAATGTTATTGTCGCCTCATTTAAGTGATTTAATGCACTGTTTCTCAATTTCTATGTGAAGAATCTCAATATGTAACGAAAATTGTAATTCAGTCAGTAACAACGTAGAACTTCATACGTACGTACATCAGTCCGAGTTGCCACACCACATTAGCACAGAGATGCATTGGTCGATTCAAATCCCGTAGTGCTAGATGTAGCAAAATTATAAGCTGTAATCGGAAAAATTAGGGTTTGAAGATGTTATTCAAGGATTATAATCCAGTGAAATATATTTGGAAGGAGAAAAAGAAGAACATGAAGAATCCGGAAGTTTAGGTTTAGGAGAACATAAAGAGTGGATGCACCTGTGCCATTGCAAACGATTTTGAGCCATGTCATTCAAGGTCTCTAACCATCGGTTGCTATCGTTTCATGGATTCCAACCGGGTAGTCTACACCTACCAACATGGCTCAGTCCACTTGTCAGTGACTTCATTGATTTGTGTCATGTTTTGGTCTGGCCGCCCCTAGCTTTCTTCCAACCTACTCCTATACCATTGAACATCGCTCGTCGAGGCAGTCGGTCGTTGGGCATACGTAACACGTTTCAGCCATCTCCACTAATGAATTCTCACTACTTCATTAATCGATTTGCCATCCTTACCTAATACCCGTTTCCTAACAACTGCGTTACTTACTCGATGGTCCCAGGATATACGAGCAATGTTTCGAAGACACCTATGATCGAATACTAGTAATCTACGAATATCCGCTACTCTTACCGGCCATGTTTCACTTCCATAAAGTAGGACGGAACGAACTGCTGCGCAGTAAACACGTCCTTTGGTTGGTAGACGGATATCTCGCCTACGCCATAAGTGACGCAAGTTGGCAAAAGCTAGTCGAGCCTTCTGTATCCGTGCTGAGATTTCGTCACACACCAGACCATAAGGGCTGATGAGACTTCCAAGATAAGTGAAGCGATCGACACACTCAATTACTTCACTCCCTATCATTAGTTCGGGTGTCAATGTAACCCAATCCTGAAGCAACATTTTGCATTTCGAGGGGGAGAATCGCATCCCGAACATGCTTGCATTGTTGCTTAGAGTGGTCAGAAGACTCTGCATTTTGTCAGCGTCTTCACCAAATAAAACTATGTCATCAGCATATTCTAAGTCAACAAGTGAACCTCCTGGTAGAAGTTCAACCCCTGGAAATTTAGATGAGGAAAGTGTTATCTCTAAAAGTACGTCGACGACAAAGTTGAACAAGAATGGGGAGAGTGGACAGCCCTGACGAACACCACTTGAGGTAATCAATTCTGATTACAGTTCGCCATAAGCTCTCACTCTACCAGTTGTGTTCGAGTAGAGAGCCCTTATAAGGTTAATGTACTTCTTTGGTACTCCTTTCAGTGACAAACACTGCCATAGAACCTTACGATCAACAGAGTCGAATGCTGCTTTAAGGTCGAGAAATACTACCGTTGTGTGGCGTCTGAATGTGTGTCTGTGTTTTAGAACCTGACGTAGTGTGAATATCTGATCTATACAACCACGTCCAGGTCGAAAACCAGCCTGGTTTTCTCTAGTCTGTTCTTCACGAGCTTTGGTTAGGCGTCGAAGTATTATTGAAGCTAATATTTTAGACACTATATTAGTCAAACTGATTCCTCTGTGATTGTCACAAGAGGACTTTTGTCCTTTCTTATAGACTGGCACAATCAGTGATTGAGACCAGTCAGATGGGATTACGTCCAGTTCCCAAATTCTACCTAAGACCTCAGTTAATCTCACTGCTAATACTGAACCACCATCCTTAAAAATCTCAGGAGTAAACCTGTCAGGGCCTGCTGCTCTCCCTCGTTTCAGATTTCCTATGGCTTTTTCAACTTCGTAAAGAGACGGAGGACCTACATTAACTTGCCATTCAGGTTGACTGGAGATCGTGGGAAACCGAAGTGTGGCTGAAGGCCAGTTGAACTGATCCCTAAAGTGTTCTGCCCATCGATCCAATCTCCTGGATTGAGAATGTATAATATGTCCATCTTTCTCTGAGAGTGTTTCGCTAACGGTCGGGTTCCTAAATCCGGTTTCCTTAACAAGTCTGAACAATTGTCTGCTATTACCTATTGCCGCTGCCTTTTCCATCTCTCTTGCTTTCGCTACCCACCACTGTTCACGATCATTGCGTAGACTTCTTGTCAGCTTGCGCTTAAGCTGACTCCGCTCTTCATTATGTTCAGAGCCAGGTGGAATGAGTTTCCGAGCATCTATCCAATCGACCTACCTGGCATGGTAGAACCTACAGGAACATATGTTCCAGCCAATATAGCTCAGTTGGGTCATCACAACAGGTAAGCCCGACCACCACGTCAAGGTAGCAGCTTCGGTCGGGAGCGAAAATTGTAAACCGTCTTTCAACTAAAAAAAGAATATCTTTGATTTATACTCATATACAAATCTCAGCTAAATTTTTTGTCCTTCGATACCAAGTATTTGTGACATCGTAACAAACAGCATGTTTTTACTCTTTAAGAATCAGTATTGGCATGGAAACGGCGTAACAAAATTGGGCAATTTCGAGACGTTGATCCTGAAGAAAAGAAACGGATAGAAGAACAACGTCAATTGGCTGAATTTCACGAAAAACAAAATGCTGAATCATTATCTATAGGTTCCCGGTAGGTGGAAATCTTTCCGCAGTCCTTTTCTCTGTATGTTATATGGTCCGTTAAACATATTTTGATTCAAATGTTAGACAGATACTACCACATTCCCTTCAGATAGCTGTTGAACCTATGTACAAATAACGATTACTATCCTATAATGAACTATACTTTCAGTCAACCCGTTGAAGAGTTTAGCGATACTACTCATGCATACATGGATTTATTTCTCGAATTTTTATGGTTTTTTCCAGATAGGTTTTTTTATTTTTCATCTCCTGATTCGCTCATGCTAAGTGTGGAAGTTGGTACCGAAATACTAAGCAAACTTGTCCAAAGGCGATAAATAAGACAATATCAGTGGTGAATAAAATCTAACGAACCTATTTCCTTTAATTCTATTGCGCATAACAGATACCCCTTTACAACGAATCGTGTCAGTTTTTATTACTTTAATCCACGATTTGTCTAAATAGCTAAGGGATATTGAGATATCTGACTAAATTACATGGTATATTCTTAGACAAGATCAAATACATACAACTAATTAACTTTGAAATACTGGTATCCGGTGTTACACCCCTATTTACTTTGAAAGAAACAATATTCCCCAAAGATACCGTGTTATAACTGATCAGTAACCAAGAGAGAATCTAGATAAAACTCTTCCAAATGCAACAACATATTTCCCATCGATAGACAGATTTATAAATAGGCCAAAGAAATTCCATTAGAACCGCCTGTATCATTACTAATTGTAGAAGCCGTTATACAAAGACTTGAGGCCAAATTTTAGTCGATAATCAAACCAGCAAATGAACACGTAACGTAGATGATAGATTTGTTATCCTCCGGAGAGACAGGCTCGGTTATCAACATCTTCATAAACACGTTTACAAAGGGAGAATAATCACCAAACAAATATCCATTCCTGAATGTAGTAATCAGCAGGAAACGCAGAAACGGTTAAGAAACAGTTATAAAAGTTGAGCCATACGAACCAAATGGAGGATTACACCAGCGCACAAATAGAGTTGCATACAAACACTATTTATAAGAGCAAGGACTCACTGAAGCATCCTCACCACATGAAAAGTTGAAGAAACCTACTTTCTATCAGTCTTTAACAGCAGATCATCCCTACAATTTTACCGAAAAGTGTTTAGTAAGTTAGCGTACTATCGCAATCACATTCGTAGACTAGGAAACAAATCGTTCTATTATGTGCGAAAATACCTCGGAAATCACTATAATGACTATCAAGCCATTCAGAATAAATGTCTCAAAAGCTAACACAACAATGTAATTCTGTCTTGTGCAGACAAAATGACAATAACTTAAACTGATACATTATCTATTTGAGAAATTGTATTGATATTATCGAGCAGTACATTAGACAAGGTAGACCTATCCTTTATTTACGCGTACATAAACACAAGCTAGGAGTGAGACGAAATAACTGTTATCATGTATGTCTCTGGACGCAGACAGCTAACGTGACCAAAATTATAGGTCAAAGAATACTGAGAACTTTCTAAAAGCCTCAATCTGTATTGAGTAATCACGTTGCCATGATTACAACAAAAAGTTTAGTAACTCGCATGATCAGAGGTCAACTAAGACAGACAATGGGAATAAGATTACAAATGAAGATAATCAGTCACAAGCAAAGTTATCAGAGTGGACTGGTTTTTCACTCATGGGATAATCAAATGGTCCACTTATACGTGAAGCAAGCGCTAATGATATTGTCTAACAAGAAAATGAAGGTTTCGCAGCTTAACCACTTAGTTCATAGAACGCAACACGCCGGAGTTCAATGTACACTTTTACCATGTCTTACTTTGTTTATGACTTAGTCTGTTAAAACAATAAGTATGAATAGACTAAATATAAATCCGTAGTTAATACTTTGAGGCCTTTTTCTGTGTATTCTTATGGTTATGGAATATATAGTCTATAAATGTAATTCTGAGAAATTAGTTATTATGAATACCTAGAAATTTCTAGTTGCAGTTTCTTTATAATTTTCTATTATCACTAAACTACTTACATGGATTGATGTTCTAACTGTATATATTTAATGCATCAGGTGTGAAGTTCGAATTCCTGGTCAGCCGACAAAGCGAGGTGTAATAGAATTCGTTGGTAAGTATATAATCTATAAGTTTATTTTTATTGAACTTTTGATAGAATCCAATTTCCCAACTATTCCTATTCTGATGATATCCATCCGTTTGTCAAGTACACGTTTATGTACTTAATTTCCAGAGGATTAGTAGTATCACCTCAATTAGCTGAAAGTTGAGTCCTTTAACTACTAAGTTTTCACTCTCCGCTTGCACTATCAAGTGTAATATCATACTTTAGACTGTTTAAGGTATAGTAACGACTGACTAGTAGAGATAACAAGCTTCCTCTGAGTAAAGAACATATTTACGTACCTAAATGTAAAGGTATTTAACTTCAAATTGTGAATAAGTAAAAATAAGTTGAGGGTCAAAGTAATTATATCCGTCATTTCCCACTGATAATCGGTCATCCTGACGGGTCAAACACTCCGATGATAGTTTCTAACGTGATTTTGCGAAAAATACTTTGGCAGTTATAGACAAAGATATTGAGCTTCAACTATTAATGTGTTTTGAGCATCTATTTTTCGGCATCTACCATTTACGCTATTTATTATCATGTGTAAATAATTGTAACAGGATTCATCTTTTAAATTAAGTATTTAGAATTTTAAAAACCGAACAAACGATAGATGTGAAATGCTTCAAAATATATGCCTAACGCCAAGCGATTCCATTTTGCTCTTTAAATCCATAACTTTTCTTTTCTAGAATTACGCAAGATCCTAGTGTTAAGTTGATCTTGAAAACAATTCAAGACCTTCCTGAATAAACTTGGTTTTCAATCATAGTAGAAATAATTCCATAAAAAATATTTAATAACAACTATTTAGATTATAGGAAACATTTTATTTATTTATTTAAACACATAAACATTGGTACAAGGAAGCACCGATTAGATATGCACCACACAAATCATTCGGTTTACGTGAGGGGTGGGATACTGCCCGGGTGCTCAAACCGAAGCATCTGGTTTTCTCAGGGGGTCACACCCGGAACCTTCGACCTAAAAGTTCAATCCACAAGACAGTGGAGCAACGTAAGGAGATGTAGTCCCATGGTAGCCGGTGACCAATAATTGGTTCATACACTATTTGTTCCCTCAGGATCCTGAAGCCAGCCCATATGCACCACTGGTTTGGAATAAGGGTTTTCCAACTCCCCTAGGTGAACTGTCCGTGTCCACCAACCCGGTCAAAGCGCCGGACATTCGCTTTTCGTTCTTTCAATTTCGTAAACAACAGTAGTGCCACTAGAAGGCAGTGGGTAGGACTTCCCTGTCAGTGGTTGTATGCAAATGGCTATGTGAGAGCATTTGGAGAGGGAGAGCTGACTCTCCTCACTCTTGGCCATACCAGGGCATTTGGGGGTTATGGAAAACAGTCAGTCAGAAATGCGGTCTAAAAAAGATATTTTATTAGGAATGTTTGTCTAAACGAATAGGAAAATACTAGAAAAATTTCCTTCTATAAAACAATATTTTTGAATATGTCATCAAAATATCCTCCTTTTCCCAAGGATTTGCTTCATTATAATTTTGGTACATAAAAACCCCCATAAAATCAATGTCGTTTGATAAATCTATCAAATCCTGTTAAATTTTCCACTTTTTATGTAATCTTTTATCAGTCCATATTGCCCCGTCATATTTTAAACTAAATAAATAGTCCAGTACCATAACATTATGTAATTGTTATCTTCATTTTGTAACTAGTTGTTGTATATTACTGTTTGAGTGAAACAAGTTTACCAACTTGGAAAAATCGCATATAAAAATTGTATATTTTACAGATTTATATATCAAATATTAAATTATAGAGATAAATGATCATACGAAACAAATAAATTTCCTATGATCAATTACATTAGAAATTAAAAATCAGAATAAATCAAAACAACTCTTATGAGTATCATCGTAAGTGGAGATGGTCTGTAAACTTGAATGTATCCGTTTCAATAAAACAAATCAGTCATTAAGATTACTTAAAGTTAGCTAGCGTCTGTAAAAAAAAAACATTTCATCAGTTTAGTGAGAGCAGCATTCAACAAATATTCTTATCAAGTATATTTGAATGAAAGGGATTAACTTATTTGTATACATTCTTCACTCTAACCCATTTAGTGTGGATATGTCGCTGGTAATATTAATTAGCTAAGTTTTTCAGTCTATTTCGTCATACATGCATTTTGTTCGAATCGCCTCGATGTCGCTATTAAGTCACAAGTATTGTAAGAGAAGTTGGATATTGGCTAGCAGTAAAATCCAGGACGTGTGTTTCGTCCTATTTGGTAATGAACAGCTGAATTTACCTTCATCCTATTGAATAAGACAGTGGCTATCTGGACTTAGTATCTAAGTGGATAATGCGTTTGTGTCTGAAGCGAAAGGTAATAGGTTGGAATCTCAGTGTACGCTAAATCTAGGATAAAGGTATATCCAACCGACGAGTCCCAAATAGGACGAAATGCGCGTCCTGGATTCCACTGTTAGCCACCATTCATTTCTGTTTGAATGATTAGTATCCAGTTGATCCGTAAAATGCCAAAATTTGAAAACATTTGAAGTACAAAATGAACAAAACGTTGGGAATAATGGGGAACGATCATAGTTAACAAAATTAGAATTTAAAAAGAGTTTGTTCCAGGAAACATTCAATTAACTTGTCAGTATGCTTAACTCTCTATTGGTTTCATCATCAAGAAAGGCAGTCAATGCGATGAGAATTGAGAAAAGCCTGTGATTAACTAGCCTTATAAACTATGTTACTAAACTTAATTATTATTTAAGTGGGATGCAGCCTTTACAGTTCTTGAAATCTAAAATTTAAAAAATAACGAATCATTCTTTTTGGTGCTTTGATTCCCATTTAATTGATCTTCATCACTTTGGATCTACATATATATAGTCACCAATAAATATTTTGAAATTATATACAAAAATATTGTTGGTTTCTTTATGAAACCGATGGTGCTAGTTGACATCGTATGACAATCAGACCTATTTTATCTTCAGAAATCTCTATACTCTAAGTATATCCATACAATAAATATTGTATGGATAAGCGAACAATTTGATGAATGTTAAGTCAACTTGCTTTTAGAATGATTTAGTTATCTTTTACATTGGATGCAACCTTTATTGATATATAACCTTATGATAACCACCTAGAAGTGTTTTTTCTTCTTCTGTATACACCATCCAAAAAGCAGCAAGGATTTGGAAGCATTAAAATGATTCAAAATGCTATAATTGTGATAAATATTCATTCCGAATTAATATTTCAATAAATAAAATCTGAGTACTTATAATAAACATTTTCAGGCCAAACCAAATTTAAACCTGGTTATTGGGTTGGAATTCGTTATGATGAACCTTTAGGAAGAAATGATGGAAGGTAAGTTTTTCTTCACAATACCTCAATACTTTCATTGATTTAAGGACTATAATTCATATAGTTTATATGGGATGTCTATCACCAAATGTTAACTTCCAGGTATTGAATGTAGAGTGTAATAATTCTTCTGTTCAAATGAAATCTATCGTTAGTAAGATTGTTATGTGTGTATTTGTGCATAGAAATTTGAAATTTACAATTAATATATTCAAACAGAAATAGAGTTTTTGGTAAGGACAACTTTTGAGCTACACTAGACTGACCTTGATTGTGTCCACCTAACAACTAGGACCAAATAAAGGTTATAAACTAGCGTGGGGATTTAGAATTATGATTTACAGTTGATGGTTAAGACTAGGAATTAGATTTATGGTTTACATCACGAAGTTATATCAACTGTAGTGCGAAAACTATTTAGCCGAATGGATAAGTGAATTTCGCTCCAAAATTCGAGACGTGTTATCTTATACCTGATTGGTTCGTCCATAAATTATAGTGTCGCCGAGTTTTTATTAATGATCAGACAGTTTTATTCATATAATTTCGGAGTAAAATAATTAAAATATGAATTTGCACTGATTCATCAAATTGAATACCAAGTAACAAGCTGTATCGTTCAGTCATAAGTAAAGTAGAATCTACTTCATATGTTCATCGGTTAGAGTTCTTATGTCATATGATCACAATGAACTGAAATTATCACGACAAATCCCAAAGTAGTAGAAATAGTAACAGTATCAAGAGTAGTACGAAAGACCAAGTATAAACGTTATGATCCGAGAATAAGGAATAAAATAAGGCATAGGATAATTTTAAAACTACGGATCTATGGGAATTTTCGGATCTCGTTATTGGTGTTGATTGTTACATTGGAGGATGTGTCATAATTAAACTAGGTGTTTTTTAAATGTAACATTTGACACGTGATTTCGCCGCTATGAGGATATACTTTTATATTAATACTCATCTGTAGCTCGCAGTTCGAAAAGTTGACAGATTTTCGTACACGACCGCTACATCGTATCGATTAGGACCCAACGTTAACGCTTAAAGAAGCTTACGAGAAATATCAGCGATTGACAAACCTGGCAGTCAAGATAGATTTGACATCCAGGCAGTCCAAAATAAATTCCATTCTGATCCCAAGACCCCAACACTCACCCTTAGACGAAAAATCATCAGAAGAGAATTCTAAATCTCCCTGTCCCAGGTACTAGCATTGTAGTGGATGGGATTTTTCAAATTCATATTCATTCATAAACCACTGTTGTAGGAAATGTTACACGGTTGTACATAAAGAAACGTAGCAAGTAGCAAACCAGCCGCCCGCATTCAAGGTTTCGAAGAAGGTACAGATCTAGCATAAAGCCAATCAAAGTTTGTTCTGTATTTATAGTAAATCAAGTGTACAAAAAGCTACCCAGGAAATTTGTTTAAGTTCTGATAACAGTTAAGTTGATAAGTTTATAATTGCGTACAAAAAGTCAATTTATTCAGCCTAAAGTTCATGTACTGAGCTTTAAGCCACACTATTTGTATGAAGACTATCGATACTACTTGAACGCTGTAACTGAAGTAAATATACGCGAAAGTTAAATTTTACTCTGAAGGTCTCCAAAACCTTATCTGTAAGATACCTATTAATTTCTCGAACCTATTACCGTCAGTGACAATAAAATCAGAAAACTAAAAAAATGTTAAGTTCATAAGTAAAAATGGATGTTTAATTAAGTTCCCTGTGGTTATCTAGTTTTAAACTTGCAAATCAAAATGAATAATCAGGAGAAATTTAGTCTTGAAACCTATTCGCTAATATCACTACAACATGATCAGTCTAAAATCGTTTGTAAAGAAAAACAACACAAATACATGATAAATCGTCAGTGACCTGTGTTCTTTTCGAGATTGTAATAATCCCTGATGCTGTTTCGATCAATAAAAGTCAAATATGAATTACAGCTTGTAATTGTAGTAACTAGAGACTTATTACTAAATATTATATTTTGAGTATTTATTTTGATGAAATTCTAATATTTAGACTGTAAATGAACCAGTAAACGTTGATTTTGTTATTTGCTTTTTTTAGTATTGATGGAGTACGATATTTTCAATGTCCGGAAAAGTATGGTGCATTTGTGAAACCGCAATATGTTGAAGCTGGTGACTTTCCTGAACTTGGTATTGATGATCTAGATGAAATTTAATTACTTATGATCTTTATATCAATCTCCTTGTATAAAAGTGGAAATATTTTTATGCATTCAATGGAAAATGTATCAAGCATAATATATTTGATAACTTTCAATGTACAATTTTTAAAAAAGTCATAATTGGTTCCGTTTGTTTATGATCGATAATGCAATGAAATAGATGGTCACGGTGTATAGTTTTTGATCATTCGTTAAATACAGAAGAAATAATGAATTAACTGTTGACACTAAATAATAATTTCTTCTTACTTTATCATCTATGGTTTATTAGAATGTAATTAAACAGCTTTA